CACCCTTGTAAATAATGTTATACATAATTATTTAATAGAGTAATTATTATTATTACGTTGGAGTATTTTTGTGGTTACAAGAACCTTTTGTATAACAAACTCTCTGATTAATAAACCAGATATTATTTCTGATTTAAATTACTTATTTGTTTCTTTGGATTGTTTATTTCTTTTTATTATAAATAGGTCAGTATATTTCGCAGTTTTGGTATGCCTATGGGATGGAAAAATATGTTTTTGTTGATTTAGAGTGCGATCGGTACATTTTCTAAATTGCGTGGCGTCCAAATTGTAAGTTTTGTTGAACCGCGACCTTCGCGACTGAAGCAAGCTGGTTACCGTTCGTACTCGCTAGGAATTAGTGTTTTTCTTTTTTTTATACTTTTTTTTGAGTTGAGATAAAATAAAGCCTATTTTATTTTAACGTAAAAAGCCAGGTAATAAACTACATATCCCATCTTCTTCTTACAAATCGGAAATTCTTCTTTAATTGTTGGCCTTTTACAACATAACCCGTTTAGTAACCTTTTGTGTAATATGTATACTATGTTTCAGAAACATTTTCAGTGAAATATTTAGCTAAAATATTTCAGAAACTTGTGCTTGAAACGTTTGAAATATTCTGAAATAATGTGTGCTATATGGGATGTTAGCGACGAATAGAGACTCTCTATCTAATAGATATAAAAAATAAGTTTTGTGTTAATGCACTACCTACACGGTGCATTCTGATTTGTTTTTGATTGTCTCAAAACGATTTCGCGTTGTAATACGTTTATCTAATTGTTACAACTTTTAAACATTATTACATTTTTATATATTATACATTTAAGAATTTGTACAGTTGTTATGGAAGTTTATTCAATTTTTAAAACAAAAATATATATTTTTTTACAAAAAAATTGAACATGTCTGTTAACAATGTTCTTTGTCGCCGGACATCCGTATAATAAATAAATAATCCCACAATTAATTATCATTCTGTAATATCCTTTGTTCTCTGATATGTAATTCGATTTGGCAACATCGCATAAATTTCGGCGATCACGATACATCCAAGTGGGTAGATTCAGAAACGTTAATTCAATTTCTATTCCTAGCAGAACCGACTGGACTGATGTTTTAGGTGCCAAATTTAAAAATATTTATTAAATTAAAACGTTTTTGTTGACTTTTTACGATTATTCAGTGTTTAGAAAAAATCTTAGGTGGTGTGTAAGGCAATAAGACATAGAAGGAGCTTTTGACAACACGCCACACGAATCTGTCAAAAGAGCACTTGCATACAGAGGAGTAGATAACATCACAACCAGATGGATGGCTCAGCTATTATCTACGAGAACTGCAGAGACACAGTTAGAGCAAGACACTATATCCATCTGCACAACCAGATAATGTCCACAAGGAGGAGTTCTATCCCCACTAATGTGGAGCCTAACCGTAGACGAACTTCTATGCAGATTGACTGATTTCGGCATACACTGTCAAGGTTATGCCGACGACATAGTCATATTTGCTAGAGGCAAGTTTAGAAATATCCCGTGTGATATAGTCCAACGAGGACTAGAACATACCAAAAGATGGTGCCGTGAAGTGGGACTAAAGTATAATTTATAACCACCGTAACGTAACACCGTAGAAACTAAGATATAAAAATAAAGTCTATTTATAAATGTCCGTAACGTAAGAGTTGAGCATGCGTGTTGTATTTCAGAGATTATTAAATTACTGACAACCTTATGAAATAAACAAGTGTAAACTATGTACCTAACCTCTAAATAAAACTTATAAATTATGATTTTGCTATGTAGAAAGAATATATTAACTACTTTAAAATTAATAATATAAAAATATAATAAAACAGAATTGTTTACTGAAGATGTTGATTGTTTTTGAACAATAATGAGAATTTAATCTTTCCTAGCAAACTAGTTTTGTGTCTTATTTCAGTTCTAGACTTGATGTTTATAGGTATATGCAGCAACACTCATATCTCATAAATAGTTATCCCCAATAACACAAATCATTCATGATAATGTATGTCCATCAAAAAGGAAAATGATAGTTTACAAATGGTATTTGTCCATACATTTATAAAAAAAATAAAAAAGAATAATTGACAGTTATCACATGCTGAACTCAGAATTATCTCATTGGCTAACCGTAAGGTCTTAAGTTGTTAAGTTAAAAGTTGGCGAACTTTCTACGGTACGTTAAGTTCTTAAGTTACGTTACGAACATTATAAATAAGTATACGTAAATTCAATATTTCAACTTCTTACGTTAAGTTCTTAAGTTACGTTACGGCGGTTATAAATTAAGCTTCAGTATAAACCCTACAAAAACAACACTAGTAGCCTTTTCAAGGAAAAGACAACTTAATCTCAAAACCGTTAAATTAGACAGGATAGATATAGAATGGAAAAATGAAGTCAAATATCTAGTCCTAACCCTGGACAACAAACTTCTCTGGAACACACATGAGAAGGAAGTAGTAAATAAGGCCACAAAAGCCCTAATGGTATGCAGAAACTTTGCGGGTAAACGATGGGGATGTAACCCAAACATACTGCGATGGATGTATACTGCAACAGTGAGACCAATCATCACTTACGGGGCCATAGCCTGGAGTAACAGAACTAGTTTAGCTACTACGAGAGCTAATATCTCAAAAGTACAAAGACTAGCCTGTGTTTGCATCACCGGTGCAATGAGAACCTGCCCTATGGCCGCAATGGAGGTGATCTTAAACCTCACCCTTCTACATTTGATGATAGGGAATGTGGCAAAAAGGACACGATATAGAATGATCAGGAACGGAATAATCAGACGAAAGTCTACTTGCTTCAGGACTGAAGATACCTGGGACATGTCCCAGGATGAAATGTTAAAGAAGTACAGTTTTGTGAAAAACTTCAAAACCACAGAGCTGGGCTGCAAGAAAGAATGGAGCCAAGAATCCATCGCGCTTGCAACCGAAAGACATGCTATTCAGTGGTATACGGACGGTTCCAAAACCATAGAAGGATCTGGAATAGAAGTGTATGTGCCGAGAACCAAGCCCTCCGAAAGCTTGAGAAAATAACCAAGCATCTTCCAGGCGGAAATTCATGCCATCGAGAAGTGTATCCAGTTTAACATCGAGAGAAACTATAATAGACAAGAGATTATCATCATGTCCGATAGCCAAGCAGGCATTAAAGCGCTGAGCTCTTACGTAATTGGTTCAAAAATAGTCTGGAGATATATATCATGATATTTATATCTTGATATATATCCGATATATTCGATAATTTTATTAAATTAAAAATGTTTTACACCATTCTGAACATCCGAAAATGTCTCAATACGCCCCTGTATAAAAGTATCATAACTAGCGATTAATATGTGTTTGTGTTAAATATTAATGTTAACAAAATAATGTTAAAATCTGTTAATTTTATAAATTATTTTTGTTTTTTTTCTTTTTAATTTGAGTTAGAATAAACGGTTTTGTTGTTTAGAATATAAGTTTTTGTTAATATGTTTTTGTGTTAAAATTTAAAATATAGTTTGTGCAAGAAAGAATACTGTTTTTAATTAAATAATTAAATTTTAAAACTGATATATATATCGGATATATATATATATATATATATATATATGTCCGATATATATCATGTGATAAGATATTTATATAAATATCATGATATTTTCGAACCCTGCTCCAAATCCTACGCTTCCTTGAGAAGATAGGATTGGAAGGGTCGTTATTGGCATTGAGACATTTACTTGGTTTATTAGTGACAGAAGTGGGCACAATAGATATTTTAGGTCGCAGTGTATTAACACCCCATTCCCAACATAACATAAAGCAATAAAAAGTTATAATAACAGGAAGTAGGCTAATTTTGTACGTTTATAAAAGTTTTAGAGATAATTTATTGTGAAATAATATTATTTATAAAAAAACTGTAAGATTAAAATTTTTGTAAAATTTTTCCTAGTATAACAATGACAGAGATCGCATAGAACAATTTTGAAAAAAATCTGATGAAAGATAACTTTTTTTACTTGCTTGAATTTTTGAACAAAACATTTTTTCCTCAAAAACGGCTTACCAGATTTTTTCAAAATTTGTTCATTGGTTAATTATTTGTTGACTAGGTTTGAATTTTTTGAATATTTTTAAACGTAAGATTTATTTTTTGGTCGGGTTGGGTAATGCTTTACAACGTCCTTAGAGGAAATGTCTTTCTCAGACGAACAGTCTTGACGATATGAAGAAATGTTTGATGAAAAATGTGAAGTGACAATTTTTTTTTTTCGACAATTTTTACTATTCTAAAGAGGGCAGCTCGATAATACTTGGAAATTCGATAAAGTATATCAAGTAAAAGTTCTAGATAATTGTATAAGCTTTCATTTAGTACCTATTAGACAAATTATCCTTACGACGCACCGTTTTTGAGATAGCGAAAAATCCATTAGTGGGACGTCCTTTGTGTCCCCCTCCCTTCGGCTTACCTCCTAGACGTCAGTACTTTTAGTATGTACACTCCATAAGCACCCTGAACAAGTTTTTGAAGAAATCGCTTGGTCCCTATTCACGCACTGTAACGCTATTCATTGATTCGACTATTAATTTAATTTCGCACATGTGCAATATCGTCGTTGTAGAGTCAAAACCTGGTATCTCTTTTTTTGGCGTAACTGAATGTAATTTTTTTTTTAGAGATTAATTTTAAAAATGTAAATCTTTAACCATTTCGCATCTTTTTGACTTCCTTTTTTCTATTACATAAAAAAAATTAACAATTACAGAAAAAAGTTTTTAGTGTTTCCTGAAAACCTGGTAATTGATGATACGAGATGTTGACTCTACGGCTACGATATCCGTTTTCACTTTTGAAAAAACCGTTTGGACAGGTCAACTTTTCAGACTAGTCCGTCGGACTTGTTTGTTGACTTTTCCAAGCGATCCATCACTAATATCTAACAAAAATACAATTTTTCAATAGGTACATATGGTTCTCGGAACATTCCAGTTACACTCTTGTAGACTTGGTCCCAAAGAAGAACCGAATTACTACAGACATCACCCCCATTTGTCTAATGAAGGCTATAAAAAATCCAGTTGAAATACAAGGCATGCGTAACTGTCACATTCGCGACGCCGCCGCCCTATGTTGCTACTTTTCATGGCTAGAACAGAACGTGGACAGGGAAAAGATAACTGAAGTGTCTGGTGCCCAGAAGTTGTTAGAATTTAGGAAACTACAATCCGATTTCGTAGGACCTAGTTTCGATACTATCAGCTCAGTTGGGCCTCACGGAGCTATAATCCATTACCAACCCAGCGATAGTACGGATGTTCGAATCACCAGCGATCAATTGTACCTTTGCGACTCCGGTGGTCAGTATTTGGACGGCACCACTGACGTTACAAGGACTTTGCATTTTGGGAATCCCACGCTATTCGAAAAAGATTGCTATACCAGGGTTTTGAAAGGACAGCTTAAGCTAGCATCTAGGATTTTTCCATCGAAGATTAGAGGTTAGTTTTGGTTTCGAGATATTTATTTTATTCACTTGATTTTATATTTTAAAGGTAACTATTTGGACTCCTTTGCTCGCGAATTCCTCTGGCAAGTTGGTCTAGACTTCGCGCACGGAACAGGTCATGGTATTGGTTCCTACCTCAACGTTCATGAAGGACCTATGGGCATCTCCTGGAGACCCATCGATACTGATCCTGGCCTCCAACCGGGCATGTTCATCTCCAACGAACCCGGCTACTATCAAGATGGCGAATTCGGTCTAAGAATTGAAGATATTGTGCTAGTAATCGAGGCCAAACCACCTCATAACCACGCCAATCGTGGATATCTGACATTCGAAACTGTTTGCTTGGTGCCAAAAATAAATAAGTTGATTCTGGTGGATATGTTGACTGACGAAGAACTTGAACAGTTGAATAGCTATCATAGGCAGTGCGTGGAAGTTGTTGGACCTCTTTTGGAACAGCAAGGTCAAATGCAGGCTAGGGAATGGTTGATCAGAGAGACGAGGCCTTTGACTAGATAAATAAGATGTTATATGTTCGTCCTTTTGTGATAAATTTGAGAGTTATTTTGTTTTTGAAGTAAATGCATTTAATTTTGTATTTAGTGTTTAATTTTTACCCTTATTTGCCTACTAGTCCAAGAGCCCACTGCAAATTTCGACCGTCATCTGATAACGAAATGAAATATGCTTCAGAGGCATGTAAAAATATTGTACTTTACCAAACGGCACCTGTGCCTATCACTATCCTGAACAAAATAGTTAAAACAATGGCTCTTCCGGTGTCATAATTAGCGAGAAATGTCGTCATTTGATAACGAGATAAGACCTATGCCATCGGATAGCTATTGATTAATAGAACTTAAAAATGTACGTGTGCCACCTCTTTTCCTGAGCCAAATGCTTGGCACGGCCTATTTATTCAGCCAAAATTCTCGACAAACTTCCGTCAAGTGATAACGAGTTAAAACAATATGCATTCCAAGGGGCACAATGTCCCATTCAGGAATATCCGCATGTGCCACGTTTTAACCTGAGCTAAGTTGCTGGCACAGCGTAATTTCTGAGACGCCTCTCCCAACTAATTTATTTCATATATACAAAAAATCACATAAGCCATGACAACGAAAATTTTTCGTATTGAAAATTACAATCCTAATTAATTGTAAACTTATTACTGAAGCTTTGGTTTGTATCCTAATTTTAAAGGCTTTTTAACAGACTTAAAATAATAGGAGATACTCATATCGTTAGAATTTTTTATTTTTTTGTATGTTCACTGATAAATCTATACCACGTTGTCCGATTTCTATGAATATTTTTTTTGTTAGAAAAGGGGACACGCCTTGTATACATTACACTTGTCCGCAACTATTTTTTGACGGTACGCTCTTCCTATGTTGTCAGATCTCTTTCATCAAATATCAAGCATTAAATTTTTATTTAAAAAGTTACTATTACCTTTAATACAATCTAATAAAAAAAGGAAATAAAGAATTGAAAGCATCAATATGATTTTTTTATTAATTCCAATCACTTAAGACTTTTAAGTAGCTATTTTTACATGTGTATCATATGGGAATATTAAACATTTTGGTATAAATCATTTAACTTTGGCAACCTAAGACATTTTGCTGATGTTGTCAAAGCAGATCAAGTTTTATTGTGATTTTTGTGGTTTTTTGTAGTTTTCAAGAATAATTTAAACCCTGAACTTTTTATTAAGGACTTTTACAATGGGGAGGAAATGTATAGTGTGCCGAAATACGCAGAATAAGAATGTTATTTGGTCATTTCATAAATAAGATTATGTTAGTATAGACGTAGGCATATACAGGGCAAAAGGCTTAATTTATTTAACAGTGTAAAGGCATTTAGCACTAGCATTGTTTATTTAAATAATAATGTTCTATATTTTCTGATCAGGTTTCCTAGAGAAATTATTCAACGTAGCAAAATCTATGCTTGGTGGAGGAAAACATTATGAAAATGAAAGAAGCCTTAGTATATGTTCTGAACATTTTTTGTATGGCAGATATTTATGAAAATTTAAGTGGTAGACACATCTTAAAACATAGTGCTATACCTATCAAGTAAGTACAGTATTTATTATGGGTATTTTTATTATATGTAAGCTCTAAAATTATACAGTAATCATCACATTTTACAGAATTTTGGGAGAGGTAGTTGAAGAGGCGGAAAATTAAGAAAAAAAAATACTTTTTTTAGTGCAGTTCGTAACAGATGCTTCAATAACAATATCACATGGAGATTGTTTCAAAATTGTTATAAAAAATTATTAATTCATAATGAAGTAAAGTCAAATAAAACTGCCAATGCAATTGCTTTAGATGGCACCAGCATCTTGGATTGTAGCAACACTAGTAGCCAAATTGCGTTAAATTTAAAATGTTACGAATCAGACACTAAAGAAAATTTGGAATTTACAAATGAGCTTCGTGACCAGGATTACCTATCTATATATTTTCTGAGCGAATACATTCAGGATGTAGTTGCTTATATTTCTGGTTTTATAGTAAAATCCTTAAAGAAAAAGATTCACTGCAAACAGTATTCTGCAGTTGAACCAGTGAGTTCGAAAACCGTACAAGTCTCAAATTTGACATTTCAAAATAAGCCATTTCGTTTAAAATTTGTTTCTTCATCAATTGAGCTTAAAAACCGTACTAGATACCTAGCTGTTAATGTAGTACAGCTGATTATACCCGTGAAATTAGGTGAAAAACCGTACATATCTGCGACTACGGTTTTTCATCTCAATAACAAAATAATGGTCAGTTGCTATGGTCAGTTGGAAAAACACAAATACTGAAAATGATGATTACATAACTGAGATAACAGTTTTGATATTGTATTTTTCCTCCTTTTTGAATAAATATAAAATAAATCTTTTCTCTTCGACAGACTTTCTGTCTCAACTGTCAAAGGTGCTACTTTCTGTTCTTAATACACAAATAGCTATTTTGTCTTTTATTCCAAAATATGCTTTACAAAATATCAGTTATCTTATAACATTAAATAAATCTATTGAGCAGATTCTTCACCAAGAGTGTTTGTAGGAGTAACCATTGATAGTAAAATGGCATTCTAAATGTCACAAAAGAAGCTTCCTTTAGTGTTTTTTCTATTCGGACAAATTAGAAATAAAGTATCTGCAATTTTTTATGAGGCAAATAATTGGCATGAACTAAAATATATTGCAGAAAGCGACTTTCTAAAAGTGAAGGGATGGCTAGATAACATGTCACTCACTATAAACATGGATAAAACAAAATACATGCCATTTACTTGCAATGCTTGTTGTCTCCCTTTGTACAACCAACTAACCATAGAGACACGTGGACACCACTACGCACTGGAATCTGTTGCTGAAATAAAATACCTTGGTGTATATATAGATAATCATCTGAAATGGGAATACCATATAAATTATACTATTAAAAAATTACAGGGTATTTTATACAAATTTAAATACTTAAAAAAACATTTACCTGTACAAAATCTAATAACATTATATTACGCCTTGGTAGAAAGTCATTTAAGATATGGCATTGTTATTTGGGGAAGTGCACTTAGGTGTCACTTGAAAGCATTAGAAACAATACAAAAAAGGTTTTTAAAAATAATTTTTTCGCGAGATTTTCGTTATCCTAGTAACCTATTGTATTCGGAAGGCAAAATTCTGGACCTTAGGCAACTATACTTTTACTGTTCGGTTCAAAAATACAAGTTCACCACGAAAGAACCTAATCTACCATTCCATTATTATAATACTCGGAACAGAAACCTTCATCATCTTCCTCAGGTTGGTAAATCACTTACTCAACGATCCTTTGCTTACCTTGCACCTAAAATGTACAACCAATTGCCCGAATCCATTAAAAATCTTATTCACAAATCTACATTTAAAATACAAATTAAAAATCTATTGTTTAATACTTCCCGTCAAATAATAAATGATTTAATAGAATCAAAAATACTTACCGTAAAATTGTAAATTTATACTTATAGGCTGTATAAAGATATATGAGTATAATTTTCATGTGATAAAAAATATAGGTAGATGATGTCCGGCTTTGTTAATTTTTCCAATGAAGTCAATAATTTAATTAAATTTTTCCTACACTGCACGTCTGTTATTATTATTGCTATTTAATTGGTTTTACTTTATTATATTCTATTTTAGTGTGTATATGTCTATGTATATGTTTATAATTATTGTACTTATAATCTCCCACTTTTAGAGTGTAAAATATAGTAAATTTTGCTTGATAGTTCTAGTAAAATAAGTTGTGACTATTTTAGTCACAAACTAATTATTTTAATAACTTTTATTTTCTTCTTGAAACAAGTGATTTATCACTTATCGAGTACCTTATTCATACCAAACTTATTAGTTTTTATTGTATTTTAATTTTGTCTTAACTGTAATGTATATTTTGGATGAATAAATTATTATTATTATTATTATCTCTTGATAATCTTAAGCTAATGTGTTTTAGCCTTGTCCAGATATTATAAAATCATTGCTGATTACTGTCCTAAATGAGTTATTATATCATTACACAAATAATTCTAAAAACAGGTGTCGTGACATGCAACCCAAATGGTATGTAATAGAAAGATCATATTTGTATATTTATGTATCTGAAATAAAATTGTTCTGTTTTTAATAGCTTTTTATTTGTAGGTTAAGGTAGTCCGGCAATATAATTATTCTTTTTTCGACCTGTAGAAAAGGTTTTCAAACAGTACCCATGTAAAAATAATAATAAATAGCTTTATATTTTTACTTGCTCTTTGCTCTTCATGTATTTAAAAAAAAATATATAATAAAATACTAACAAAAATGTTCTTCCACTTTGAGCTACCTACTATTTTAATCTATAAGAAAATATATAAAATGACTTTTTGAATGCCCTTTATAAATTGAATATGTTTTCTTTAAAATTACCTTTGATTCCGAAGACCCATAGGTTACGCCCATATGAACCGTTTTAAAATTTAATCCAGATTTGCAAATCTCGTTTAAATGACTAGTGGTTATTTTCTATGCACCGGCTATGGATTAGATAATATAGTTTAGTAATCTGACAACACTGGATTTTTATAAATTTTACAAGAAACAGAAGAAGAAAACTTCAGATTTGGGCAGGAGAAATGTATGTCAAAGGGCCGTTGAAGACAGAAGCCCAATTTTTTTAAATGTACCAAAAAAAAATAATTCTATAGTTGGATGGCAAAACCATTAAGTTGATTTTTGGTAATTTTAACATATATACATACAAAGTGCTGTATTTCAAGCTTTTCTATGCAAAACGATATACCATATATAAATACTTTCCCTACACTATGCATGTTCAAAACTATATGGATATGACATATCAATATTTAAAAGTGGACAAAATCACAAATATTATATGTGTTATATGTGAAAATAGTGACCTTCATCTCAATTAACGTTGCACACGCGTATCAGGTTACGAAACACAATTAAGGACGGTCGCGTGTGTCAGCAAGTTCTAGTGAACAAAGAAAACACTTACAATGCAAAATAGACAGAGACTATAAATAGGAGTA